ACTGGCATGACGGCGAGGCTGCAGTGCGATCAAGGTAATCATGCACATTACCCAGAAGAGAAACGCGCTGTAAATGTACGGAAATCCCAGTGCAACTATAGCGTTTATATTCAGACTGAGTGTTCTGACGGTACAACTGGTGAAGCATTGTGTTCACGAGGGCACGAAAAGCATATGGCAAATGTCAGCGCAGAAATATCATCTCGTTTGCACGTCGTGTTTCAGAGCGTGGCGTGATGAAGGAGTGCACCGCTCTTCCCTGACGTCTCGGCTGTGCTTTATCAGAGGGCAGCGCGCGCGCTTCCAGCGCACTAACTCTCCAAAGCGCGTGCACTGGCGCCGGCCGAGCCTCCGTGGAGGGAGTCGCCCCGGCGCAGACGCTGGCAGCTCTCTGGTCTCTGTCACCCTCGCCAGCCAGCCGGGCATGAGGTGACTTTACGGGCTTCGGAGTCGGCCAGCGCCGTGCTGGTGTGTCGTCAGGCTGGGGGAGGGGTGGAGAAGTAATCCCGGCGTGACAGGCAGAACGAATGGGCTGGGGGTGGTACGGCAAGTCAGTAAAACATAACTTGGTGTTATGGGGAGTCAGGACGGCGGAGGAAGGAATAATAATGATTGCAGTCGAACAGCGCGTCTGGCATGTGACGTCATTCTTCGCCGGCATCTCTGACGCTGATTGTCAGGGGATTTGAAAGCAATGGCAGGAAATCGGACCCGAGCCCACGACTGCCCCACACAGTTGCGAGGCGAAAACTCCCAAATGCTCCACACAACTCACGCTGGGGAAAATATAGGTCAAGGACCGGACGCGAATGAAAAATTGTTCAAAGCAGAGCAAAAGGGCTCAGTGAGGAAATGAGTGAGATAGATGCCCACCATGACTGATGCATACACTTAAAAAAGCATTCAGTCATGGCTTTTCCTCTACTCCTCGCATCCGTACCTCACTCCCAACATACTAAAAAACCGAACTCTTGATTTCGCCCTGTCAAAACATCCGTGCTTTTTCATTCACGTGTCCTCATAAAAAACAGAGCAGTGCCTTGGATTGTCACATCTGCGCGACGGCCTGTAGCTTGACCGTCCTCGTCCCAGCACCGGGTGTCCGCTGGGCATATGACAGTGGGACACCGCTGGTCCGCCTTCAGGGACGTGCTGACGAACAGCACGACAGATGCTGATCGGACATCTGACAGTGGGGCACCGCTGGTCCGCCTTCAGGGACGTGCTGACGAACAGCACGAGAGATGCTGATCGGACATCTGACGGTGGGGCACCACTGGTCCGTCTTTAGGGACGTGCGAATGAACGGCACGAGGCCTGCTGGTGGGACATCTGAGCGTGTGACACCGCTGCCGGTGACGTCAGGGCCGCACCGGCGGGCGGCACGAGGCCTGCTGATGTTTAGATAGCGGGCCGGGTCAGATGTCCAGCTGGCCCCGGGCCGGGGCTCTGGCGCGGCTGCTTATCTGGCCAGCCCAGCTGGCCGTGTCACAGCCTGTCAGCCGCCCCCCCCCCCCTCCCTCGGAGCACGCCTGTCATGCTGCGCGCGCCCGTCCAGCAGCCGCCTCTTCGGTCCGCTGGAGGCAGACAGACATGGAGTGTGTGGAATGACTAGCTAATTACCCAGCTTCATGTCTCATAAAAAGCTAACCTGAATAATTATTTCAGGGCCGGCCAATGTATGAGATTTGAGGGATAGTGCGTCGGACGCTGGAGAACATGTTCCACAATTCGCCTGGTGTCTGACATGCTTCATGTGCGGACTGCGGAAACGACACACGAACACATTCCGTCTGTAGAAAACTGACACAGGCGTATACAGACCTGACTTAAATAGGCCATTTAGCAAACGGCTACCTAAATATTTCTATGGTGTAACTAGAGATGGAAGATTTTGCACCATGTTACTGCTGGCAGAGGGATACGAAAACGGAGGCGGTAACGCCACTGATGCTCTTGTACCGGTACTAGTTTAGAACGGTGAGCTTAGGACAGTGCTTACAGGCTGGTGAGATCGTGACAGCCCTTTACGAGAAAACGTAGACATGCGCAGGAGTGATGACGTGTTAAATGCGTTGAAAGCTGATACCAGCACCGGTACTGTCCAATACCGGCTGTAGTGGTGCCAACCTCTCTTCGCCCCACGTTCTGATCCTAAGTTCACAGACGAACCACAGCAGGGAGAGAGCAGGAAGAAAGTTATGATGAAAGGCAATCGTGAATTCGGTCACATGCCATGTGTTTAGAAGGCATGTAACATTTAGAAAATGTTGCCCCAATCCCTTTAGCACTCATCTGTTTCAGAATATCTATACATAATGCCTGACTTGGAGCATGATTCGTAATTTAGAGCATAATTCACAGCGGATTTTTTTCTGGATGACATCCTTTGCCTGATGTCGATGATGTGTGGTAAGAAAAAGCACTTCTTACTTGTGCTGCCGTGAGAGTCTCGGACCACGCAAAACAAGATTCGTTCCTGACGTCTGGATGCATTCACCTCTCCGAATTCCGATCCCATATCGGAGAGTAGGATAACGTTCAAAGCAAGTGACAGATAACCAGCCGTATACCCGGCCAGTTATCAAGCTGTATGCTCGTTCTTTACATGCTCGTTCTTTACATTTCACAACTGCGTGTGGCGTGCTCTAATTGGTGGCCACAGACCATTGCTGTTTTCGAAATCGTGGGGTCTCCGACCTCAGCAATGAGGCGGGATGTTAAGAATCAGGGCCGCCGACTCCCTTGTTACTCCAAAGCGCGTGCAGCAGTGATGAGAGCGATAACCTCAGCAGCAGAGTGATGAACGCCGCCCACAAGTGCTTAACAGGCGCTAAATCAGTTAGCCGGCGGCACGAGCTAGCCGATGCTGTTGTGGAGTAGGCGTGTGTTTGCGCAGCTGTTTAACGGCAGGTTTTAGTACATAGGTCCCATACATTCACACATTCTAAACGTATCGAACACTCGTCGAGACATCTCTAGCTAGTGAAAATATGCGATGGTGTCTTCTATCCTTGCGTCCGGCGATCCCGGCAATTCTTCCAGCCCCTGCCCAGTCCCTATACTTCCTATCATTGCGGAATTGGTGGAGAAGCTGTTGCAGCATCAGCTTAATCACTACCTGAAATCCAACCATTCTCTCTCTTTGCCCAAAGACGGTTTTCGACTCCGATACTCTATTGAAAGTGCTGAGCTTGACATCTCGGATCGCATACCTCCTGCAATGGGGGATGAAAAAATTATTTGCTCTGTCTCATTGATTTAATAAAATATTTTGACGTCATCGATCACTCTAAATTACCAGCAAAATTGCAGATTGACTGCTTAGTCACCGCATGATTTGAAGAGAGCCCTGCCGGCCAAACATAGCGTGTCTGCCTTTCCGGTTTTCCTCTCCTCCTCCCCGACCAGTCCACCTGACGGTCTTCCGGGGTTCGTCCCCGGGATCTCTGCTCTTCACAACACTTGACAACGACCTTGACCTTCATACTGCCGTGGCTGTTGTAGTGCAATATGCTATGACACGCAGGTTCTCGTCTCTGGCGAGGAATCCGCTTTCCGATGACATGACATGACCTCCCGATGATCGATGACATTGAGCTAGCCTAGCGTCGCTCGACGCTTGTGCTCGATCCAACTGTCTGAATATAAACGAGACTGAAGTTGTACTGCGCCCTCCGGGCGGCAGACAAAGCATGCACAGCCTACCCTTGTGCACCGGCGACTTCGGCGGCGAAATTCCGATCACGCGTATCGAAGCCACAAATTCAGATGTCACGTTTGACCGCTATATCTCCTGGGACTCGCTCGTGTCCCAGTCTTTTCGGAGGTGAGTTGGTCCGTCTCTGTCGTCTCCTATCTCCGCTCTCATTCCCCCCCCCCCGGGACCCTACCCACCATCGTAGCGGCCCTGGTTTTCCGGCAGTCCGCTAATGTGTTTCAGTGCACCGCCAGGGGTCGACCAAGAGCGCGGTGGCCGGTCAACAGATTACAAACTTTGCCACTCAAATCATTTCAGGAACACTTAACCACATCTCTAGCGTGCATAAAAGCCCAGACTGGTCGGACACTCGTCACGCATTAATGTACCAATCCCTCACTCTTCCGCACTTGTATCACCCGCAGTACAAGCGAGCCTGAAGCTTTAGCCGCAGGGTTTCAGTGGAACCTAAAGCTCCCTAACCACGTGTAGAGCACGTGCCAAGGCCGCCTCCGTAGTATTTCCTCTGATCGTGGCACCGCTGCCCGAAAACGGCAGTTGGCATGCGGGGCGGTAAGCGTTTTAATGCGCTGCCACCAGGATAATCTGCCATGCCCACTTTACAGTTTCAACATGCTTTGAAACTTCGCATAGCGATGCGGAGTTTTTCTGTATCCCTGGCTGTGAGCTTGTATCTCTGTCGCATTCTGCGCGCGTGTGCGTGTGCGTGGGTGTGTGCGTGTGGGCGTGTGGGCGTTTTTCCTTTTTCCGTTCCATCTCTGTATGACACGGGTCCAGGAACAGGCCTGTTGTCTTCGGCTATTCGTCGCTGACGGACCTGACCTATATCAAATAAGTAAATGAATAATAAGCCCGGCCACCACCTTGTCTGTCCAGCTGTGTAGCGGTGGGTACAGCCACCGCCCTTAGGCAGAGCAACCCCCTCGCTGTCCGCAAATCATCTTCTGTTTTGGTTTGATTGTGGTCTGAGGTTCATCCCACCTGTATGTATACTAACACTAGCAATGGTATACACAAGTCGGTCAGGTATATACGGGCACAAAGAAGTTAGCACAGAACCCCATGAAACATCTATTTGCATCTTTACATGAGTCACGTGATGGGACACATATATAGATGCAAACGATGTCACATGTTTCCGGTATAGACGAGACGGCACCGGGCACGCTCTGCGAGATGGTACCGGGCACGCTCTGCAAGACGGTACCGGGCACGCTCTGCAAGACGGTACCGGGCACGCCCTGTGAGATGGTACCGGGCACGCCCTGCGAAACGATACCTGGCACGCTCCGCGAGGCGGTACGGAGCACGCCCGGGGAGACGATACTGGCCACGCCCTGCGAGAAGGTACCGAGCACGCCCCGCGAGACGGTACCAGATACGCCCTGTGATATGGTACTGGGCACGCTTTGCGAGACGGTACCAGGTACGCCCTGCGAGATGGTACCGGGCACGCTCTGCGAGACGGTACCAGGTACGCCCTGCGAGATGGTACCGGGCACGCTCTGCGAGACGGTACCAGGTACGCCCTGCGAGATGGTACCGGGCACGCTCTGCGAGACAGTACCGAAATGGTACTGGGCACACTGCGAGACGGTACCAGGTATGCCCTGTGAGATAGTACCGGGCACGCTCTGCGAGACGGTACCAGGTACGCCCTGCGGGATGGTACCGGGCACGCTCTGCGAGACAGTACCGAAGTGGTACTGGGCACACTGTTAGACGGTACCAGGTACGCCCTGTGAGATGGTACCGGGCACGCTCTGCGAGACGGTACCAGGTACGCCCTGCGGGATGGTACCGGGCACGCTCTGCGAGACAGTACCGAAGTGGTACTGGGCACACTGCTAGACGGTACCAGGTACGCCCTGTGAGATGGTACCGGGCACGCTCTGCGAGACGGTACCAGGTATGCCCTGCGAGACGCTACCGGGCCCGCCGCCGCCGCCACCGCCGCCGCCGTGTCTCTTCGGTGTCGTGGTCCGTGCCGACTGCATGGGGCTGGGAGGGGGAGGGCGTGAGGACAGGGGGCGGTCCGTGCGCACATATGGCGCCAGTGTGCCGACCGAGGACCGGCGGCGCGTCACTGATGAGCTGCAGACTGCAGGTACTGCAGAGCAAGGCAGGCCATCTGGGAAACAGCGCCGCTCCGGGATGTTTCCGATGGCGACGCTGTCAGAGCAGTCACTCGGAATCTCATCGAGTGTCGACGCTAACGCTTTGGGCAAGCGGAACAGAATTCGTACATTCGTTTTAAGTGGAATCATATAAATTATGTGCTGTGAATAAATGGCGGCACACTTAGGAAGATTTAAAAAGAAATGAAAGGGCAATTGACTAATGCGAAACTGTTTAAAATTGGGAAAACATGTTGTTTATCGCTGAAATGCACCAAATCCCATTCAGCCACATCTGCAATCAGTTATATTCATCCTTGGATGGTCAAAGTGCAACATCGGCACGCGGCTGAAACCGCGGCGTGTCGCGCGCCGCAGCGTTGCGTGGCTGGGCCGTCACGCGAAGCAGACTAACACCGATGGCAAGTGACCAGCTGTGCACACCAGCGCTGAGCAAGCACGAGCGCGACACGCGTGGTGACACGCGCCACCACTTAGCTGGCGAGATGAGTCGACAAATGACGCTCTCGGTCCCGATGACCGCCTGCAGCTGCGGGCTCCGTGATCGTCGCAGGCGCAGGCGCCACCGCTTCAAACGGCGGCGCCCCGGTCAGCAAAAACGCTGCAGCCTGTCGCAACGGCGGCGCCCTTTCACTAACGGGGTTAGTGGTGGCGTAGTACGCCCACGGCGAGCCGTTTTATCTCCGCCTGCGGGAGCGGTGTGTGGCTAGTCACGTTCGTGTCGGGAAGTAAAAATTATCCGGCTCGCGCGCGAAGGTGTGGATTTGGTGTGCGCGGGCAGCTGCAGAACAATGGTGAAAAATGCGCCTTGTTTTGGACAGGTCTAGTTCCGAGGCCTCTAAAGGCACATGTTGAATACGGAAGAGCTTGGCCCTTCCGTGAAATCGATGTTTGTTCAACTTGGAAAACTGTGAGGTGTTGGCCAGATTGATTTGTTTTTTGTTTTTGTGGGGTAGGGGGCAGCAAGATTTTTCTTCGTGCGCTGTGCTATTTTGCAAGGTGTTGGCTTGACCTAGACGATGGAATGTAGGTACGGAAAATGGCAGGGAAAATGTCGGTTATGGTAGTGTGTGAACGGGCTACGGGCTAATCCAAAGCGTAATATCAGCAACGTTTCAATTGCTCCGGACCTGGTGCGGCTAAAAATGTAGCCATTGACCGTTCAGACTTGTATAGGAAAATACAATTAAAAAAGGGTTTTAGTAAACCCGATCCGTCCCACCCAGAAACACTAAACCTTGCTGTTTTGCGTATGAATGTTTCGGGGTTGGCGATGCAGAAAAAAAATCATTGGAGAAAACCTCTGCGGACCGACAAAGAATGCAATACAGACGGTGATTACAACAGGCGCCGAAAGAGCAAATTTTTGATGCCGAACGTACCCGGCAGTGAACCGAGCTTTGGCGTCTAATGGGGCTCTCGGGCTGCCGCCGTCCGCCGAGTATTGAACCACATTTGGGGTATTTATGGGTGAGAATCGTGACCGCAGGCTGACCCCTGGCGCGACCCCATGATTAAGGCGACTTGACCTGAGAGCTGGGATTGAGTTGTTTGCTCAGGGCCCGGCGCTAGTTCGAGCGCCGCTAACTCATACGCTTTTGTGGGAGATTTTACGCCTTCTCCAGACTGCGAGGACCGACTCCGGAAAACGGAACGCACGTCGCATGGCAAAGGGCGCCGCTAAACCTCGTCCGAGGTGATTGGATGTTTCGGTCGGGCTCTCACACCAAGCGGGGTGCTGCGGGCGCTGCGGGAGCGTCAGGTCTTGCGGTCGCCGTCGCGTTGCGTCAGGAATGTCATGACTACGGCACTGCGCCAAGGTGGCGGAAAGACAGCAATGCTATTTGGAGATGGCGGGATTGGAGTATTGTGGCAAGCTCACATCAAGCACACCGTCGTTCGAATAAGAATCTCAGTCGTATTGCACAATCAAACCAGCCCGTTGCCGATATGCTGTAACTTGTTTAATCCTACCTGGGGAAGAAGGACTGGTCGTTGAGCTCGTGATGACCCAAACGTATAAGTATTAACGCGATGCAATAGCTGGCCAACAAGTTGTTTAATGTGCTGACCGCAGATGTCGTAATCTAACCAATTTTCGAGACGCGTGCTTAATTAACGTGCGATTAAGCCATGGTCATGCATTAACTCGACAAAAAATGCTTTTTAATCAGCTCTGCACGGTCACGGCATATCTGGCGTATTATCTGCGGCATTGCTGTCGCGTCAGCGCCACCTCGCCGGCCACGCCGCCGCGCCCCATGCCACACTGCCCCGCCCTCTGCCCGGCCCGCTGGTCAGAAGGTGTGCTGCCGGCGCCCTCGCTCCTGTCGCGTAATGCACACAAGCCTCACAAAAGGTCGGGGGCGTGGCGCCCGCCGGACGAGGGTGCCCGCCTGGCCGGAACGGCGCGGCGCGGGGCGGCTGGCGGCCGAGCGTGGCCCGCCGCCACCGCTGGGCTGGGGTGGAGGGGAGGCCTAGCGGATTGACCATGGACCGCCACCGCCCGTGAGCTGGGGTGGAGGGGAGACCTAGCGGACTGACCATAGACCGCCACCGCCGGTGAGCTGGGGTGGAGAGGGAACCCGGCAGCTTGACCAAGGTCCACCGCCATCGGTGAGCTGGGGTGGAGAGGGGACCTAGCGGATTGACCACAGACCGCCACCGCCCGTGAGCTGGGGTGGAGTGGGGACCTAGCGGATCGACCATAGACCGCCACCGCCGGTGAGCTGGAGTGGAGAGGGAACCCGGCAGCTTGACCAAGGTCCACCGCCATCGGTGGGCTGGAATGGAGAGGGGACCTAGTGGATTGACCATGGACCGCCACCGCCCGTGAGCTGGGGTGGAGGAGGACCTAGCGGACTGACCATGGACCGCCACCGCCCGTGAGCTGGGGTGGAGGAGGACCTAGCGGATTGACCATGGACCGCCACCGCCCGTGAGGTGGGGTGGAGGGAGACCTGGAAGCTTGACCATGGACCGCCACCGCCGGTGAGGTAGGGTGGAGAGGGGATCCGGCAGCTTGACTATAGACCGTCACCATCGGTGAGCTGGAGCGGAGAGGGGACCCGGCAAATTGGGACTGGACGATCGGGCGGCACTAAGGGGCTTTGTTGCTGCCCTGAGCTCTCCAATGAACAGGACGAGTCTAACCGGACCTTATCGTGAGTACAGCTATTTTTCACTTTCCATTGTCGTTACAATGGCCTTTAAAACATAATGATGTGAGAAAGGGCGCAAAACCGGAATGTGCTTGGATTTTAGTGTCAATCGCGGAATGCATGCAAATACAAAGAAATCAAATACAAACTGCTCAAAAGCCCACGGCGTCATCAGTAAACGGCCGGACAGGTGGTCAGGTGAGCAGGATGTCGCGCACCCATCCGTGCTGCGGCCGGCCTTCCGACGCCGGGGCGTAACGGTCGGGCGCCGCCGCCCGCTGCCGGACGGGCCGCCGCCTGCCGCTGATGACCTCGGCACCTGCACCGGCGCCCACCCAATCGGAGGTGGCACTGTCAGCTGCGCGTCGCTGCGGAGAAAGTCCGCCGCGAGCGCCGCTCAGTAATGAGTGCGGCGGTAAAAAGCGCGCCTGGGACGGTCGGCGCCGCCAGCGGAGCTGACGCGCGCCTTCCGCGGACCTGGGTCACGGCGCGCCCCCGTCCCGTGCCGCCGTCACAGCACGTGGCTCGCCGCAAGATTACCTCGAGTTATAATTAGCCAGGCGGCGGGGCAGCTGGCAGGTGACAGGGGACGATTCGGCTGCTCCCGTGGTACGGAATCGGGTAGTTTGATGCAGCTGGCAGGTGACAGGGGACGATTCGGCTGCTCCCGTGGTACGGAATCGGGTAGTTTGATGTAGCAGCCCTCACGAGTGCACTCGTGAAAATGTGTAAACGTGCGGATGCCGGCTTCCCAACATACCTCTAAAAAGCCTAAGAGTGCTTAGCAGCCCTGGCTTCTGATCCCAGCACTGTAGCTGTGGGGCACTGACCGCGAAATCTTAACAGCGAGCTACTGTTCCAGCCACCACTTGTGGCATTCTCACGCAGCGTAGATTCGCCACGAGCCTCAACGGTGCACGGTATGATGATGGTGACCGTCACTGCGAAGTAGAAGTCCACGACATTCGGACGAGTCACGTGTTGGTGCCGGGGCGCCAGTCGAGTGCGGTGCGCACGCATGCGTGCATCGTAAGACGCACGCACCTCGGCATTGTTGCGCGCCTGATGACACCAGGTGATGTCAGCCGACCGAAAACAACATCCGCTCGGCGGGCTTGGTTTGCCTGTGATATGGGTAAAGGTGCATGCACTTATATTGCAGTCGTGTGTGTCTCAAGCTGATAAGAGTACAGAGCTGAGGCTCGAGCTTAAGGCTGGTGCAAAAAACTGACCAACAGTTGCATGGTATGTCATGAATCGTGGCAAGCACAGAACAGTCTCGTTCTGTTTTTGGACCCCGTTCAGAATGCAGAGTTGTTTCCAGTTTAGACCACCAGCTTTGATCTTATCCACAGGGCTCATCGTTGATGTCAGTTTCGGTCTCCCGGCGATACAAGTTTTATTTGAACTCAAATGCAAATTTCGGCTGTTCTGTCAGTGCCACTGAATGGTAAGCCGGGTTCGGAAATGAAAGGTGAACCGTGCAAGAGGCTGTCTGAACGCAGGTAAAAAGCAACCCATCAGATCACTGGTAGATACATTTGACATCGGTCAGCGGCAAACACGACGGTACAAATCGAGACAGTTTATGTTTTTACCACTATGTTCACAGCGATGACAGTTCAGCATGCGCAAAAGCTACTTTTATCGCGTGATTCTGTTTTATGGCACGTGAAGCTACCGCGCCCTCTGTTACCC